TTTTGGTACCAGGAATTAAACTCAGGACCTTGCACTTGCGAAGCAGGTGGTGGAGCTAAATCCCCAGCTCTATGTAATTCTTCTATATAGTGATTATATCAGTGGTGATTTAAAGCAGTTAACACCAAAACTGTCAAACTAAGCTTCTCTGGTGTATTACCTGAATACTAAGGTCTACCTCTTGGATTTATTTCTCGTAATATTATATTTATCTAAATAACTTGAAAATGTACTTTTAGCATTTAAAATAGTTTAGATGAGGGACAAATGAAGACATTTTGAATAGGCACAAGTGACTTATTGTAGGCTTTTCTAATGAGCTAAGAATTCATACAGAATTATACTAAATTTGTGCTGTCAGTTGACTCATCTTTTCCACATGCAAATTACGGTAAATTGGAAGGATTAAGAATTACACTGTCACCTTGGCATTTATTTGTCCATGTCTCATGCTGTGCTTTTATATAGACTACTTTTCCCCAAAAAAGTTAAGTCCTTTATACATACACGTGAGAAGTTGTCAAGGAAGATGCCATCTGTGGGTATCTTGGATTCCTGAAAAGGGTGAATATTATATTTACTAAAGTTTTTGCAACTGTTGTCAATAATAACATAAAACTGTCGTGCGGGGGGCTATCCTATGTTTGAAGTGAGAAACAGTAGTGCTGTAAAATATGAAAAACTTTGAGTGGGGCTAGATGACAATGTTTAACCATTCATTATTTTGAGAGTTTTGGTTTTTAAAAAAACATAAATAATGGGCATCTTTTAAAAATGTATATGAGTAGAAACTTGACCAAAAGGTGCTCTAGAGGGAAAATATTCTCTCCTTCCCTGCCACCCTGTAGAGATCTGAAGTGAAGGCTCGGAAGGAAAGCTTCCAAGGATGTTCGATTTTTGGCACATGGATGTGGGAATGGGAGTGTGGAAAGGAACTGAAGAAATTAAATAAGGTCGCAGATGAAAAGAAGGTTCATAAGGGAAAGACTTTAGAATTCAGATCATGAGATTTTAATGTTTCTTCAGCTAGTGCTCGCATAGGCGCCAAATTCTAAGATTACAACGTGTTTTCTTTGTCTCCTGTCCCTCAAAATGGAGTTAGCATTTGATATAGGCTGAATTACTGATAGTGTATCTTTCCCAAGATTTCACATGCTTTTGTAAGGGTAGACATTTGCACACCCAGTCTTGTACTTGCTTTTCTGTTCATAAGTCTTGATGAGTATCTCACATTCATGCAGATAGAGAAGCCACTGTTCTTTTGAACAACTGTACCTATTTGTATACTATTGTAGGCATGTATCACTGAACCATCTTCTCTTGAGTACTTGAAACTTTCTAAGTATTTCTTCAATGAATATCTCGATTTACTTGCAAGTATGCCCAGAAGATAAACCTTGAGATAGAACTGCTGCATCAAAAAGCATGTCCATTTAAAGTTTAAGAGTCTCACACTGTTCTCCAGAGAGAGCCCATGGGGAGGGTATAAGAGGCATCTGCTGCCCTACTCATCAGACTTACCAATCTGTGCCAGTGCTGTAGGTGAAACTGATGCGCCGAGGTTTTAACTGGCTTCCCTGAATTACATAAGCTTGGAGATGTTACAGATCTGGGCTGCTGTTCATGTTTTTTGCCCTTTCTCTGTTGGGTTTTGGTATTTATTTGTAGGTGCTCCTGATTTATTCAGGAAATGAGTAGTAGCTGATATTATGAATATTTTCCTACCCTTGTCTTCTAACTTTTCTGCAGTATTTTTTTATACCATCTAGTCACTTTTATATAGTCAACTACGAGTTTTTGTGGCTTTTATGTGATTTCAAAAGGGATATCCACTTTGTGTATGAGTATATAAAGTCTATTTTTTTCTGGTACTTTCAGAGTTTCATCCTTTTGTATTTAAGACTTTGATCCAACTACCTTGATCTTAATTTGCCATGAGATAGGAAGTCACCTTATTTTTTTCCTTGAAAAGTCTAGATTAACCAGGAGGGTAGGAGGGGGTGAAGAGAGGGCAGGGACAGGGGGAAAAAATGAGAACCAATGACCTGTCATGTAAAGGTACAAGATCCCAATAATGAATGTAATTGTACTGTATGCCCAAAATGTACCAATAAACTCAATAAAAGAAAAAAATCTAGATTAACCATCCAGCTCTCTCTATTTTCTTTACTGTTTTACAATACCTCCTTTTTTATGTACTAATTCCCCTTATGCACTTGATTTTATTTCTAAATATAAAAATTCTGTTCTAACAATTTGTCTTTTTTGTACTAACATGCTCTTTGTGATTTCGCTTACAGGTTAGTGCACATAATCCCTATTTTTTCATGGTTTGTTTTTTGCTATTCCTGCCCATTTCCCCATATGAACCTTATATAGTCTCCAGCTATAATACGTTCTAATTTTAAATCTACTACAAGTTCACAAATTTTAAGATACATGAAAATTCTCACACATATACTTTTAGTCCTCAAAGGAGAGCCATAGCCTCCTAATTCTTTCTGGTCTTTAAGGCCTCTTGTCTTGGGTTGCTGTCACAGTCTAGAGTATTAGGCCTGACTTTCACCCTGTGGCCTTTTTTTTAACATCTCTTTTTAAAAAGGCATGCATCAAAAGTCATCCTACCATTATTTTCCTCAGCAACCTTATTGAAGTTCTTCTTGGAGGTTTCCTTGAAATTGCTACTTGTATCTCATGCAGTGATAGGTGACTTCGGTCCCTGTGTGACTTCTCATTCTTGTTACCTTGAAAACAGAGACTGGCAGGGCCGGGGATTTAGCTCAGTGGTTTCACCGCCTGCCTGGCAAGCGCAAGGACCCGAGTTCAATCCCCGGTACCAAAAAAAAGAAAACAGAGACAGGCAATCAACAGAATAAAGCAGCTGTACTTCTGTAGGTCGGTCAACATACTTCGCAGGAATCCTTGTCACCGAGTCTAGCTGTGTCTCGAGGCTAGAGCCATGCCTTCCTATAAACACTCAGTCACACGAGGGGGCACAAATGTAATATGTGCTCTTTACAAGAGGTGCTACAGAGAACTACGGAGGGTCTAGAGAGCATAGAAAAAAGGGAACTCTGGTGTCTCAAGCCTGGCTTGAAACCATAGGGTGGTCATGGTAAACAAAGTATTTCATCTTAGACTTTATTTGATATTTGTAATTTAGGAATATCTTGGAGGCTGATCTAATAGCATAGGACGTTAAACACTGTCCAAAAAGCCTAGAGGGTCAGTTTTTATTCTTCTCCTTGACAAACATCTCTCCCTCTCCCTCCGTCTCTCTCTCTCTCTTTCTCTCCCTCTCTCCCTCCCTCCTAGTAAGCAGTGGAATATTCATTTCTAGATGAGTCTTCCTAGAACCTGCTTTGAGAATGGAATCAAGGATCCCATTACCAGCTGAGCAGGTTCTTAGCCCCTTCACTTAGATCCTAAGTTAGGGCTGTCATGATCTGGCTTGGGGGACCACATCCAGCTCTATGCTGCTTTATTTTCCTCAGCTCCAGCTAAAACTTCACATTGCCTTTCTTTTGACTTTTGTCCTGTACCCTAAAAAAACTCTTCTGTGCCTTCCAGTTCACCCCCATCAGGGTCTTTTCTTCTGCTCACGTTACATTTCCTTCCCACTTGTACAGCTATACGCACCTCACAGCCTGGATTGGCACCTTGTGTTCTTACCTAGCTTCACGAAGAGGAGCTACTGGAGAGCTCATTTCTGTGTGCCCAGCATGTCCCGATTCCCTGGGGAATCCCTGGTGCTGGGCCACGGCCAGAAATCCATGTTGGGGCTCCAGGAGAATGCATGCTGATGTGCACCCAGAAGCAGCAGCTTCCAAACAATGAAACTGCGTCAGGGTAGATTTTGTCTGTGTGTAGCAAGTCAATAAGCCCAGGGGTGAGGGAGCTGGTCATAGTGAGATCTGAGGCCAGCCCTGTGACCCATCATTTTCAGCTTTTTCATCTTTCTAGCCAACATTTGACCCCATGGGTTCACAGTGGCTTTAGCTTTCTAATCTACCAGTATTTGTTTTTATATATTAGGGTTTTATATAATGGGGTTTGGAGAGATCTGTTGTATTTCATTTTTTGAAAAATACAACGTAGTTGAAAATTACTTTGGACACTTTGTGGTTCTGGCCAGTGAAGCGTGAGAAGTGTTGTTTTTCTCCTAGTACTCAGTACTAACTTTATTTTCCTCAGGTTCCTTCATAGAACTCTTTTTCAAAATACAGTTGAAACATTACATTGCCCTGAGGAAGTTGCCGGCCCTGTGTGAGGCATCTTTGCTAGGGAGATGGTTCCTCTCCACAGCTGTGAGCTAACCTTTGGTTGACTAGAAACTTTGGCCAACATATGACTCCTTGTTTCTATACTGAATGACAAATATTTGTTACAAGGCACATGTGCTTTTCTGTAGGTGAAGGGGACCTGGGAGTCTCACTAAGCAAATACACAATGTGCTTTGTTTTGGCAGAAATGATCAGACTTCCAAGTCTTGGTCAGGTTGAATCGCAGAGTTGAGAATTTGTCTATTTTTAGGTGAAGGAAGAGAGAAAGAGATTGTGTGTGTTTGTGTGTTTTTATGTCTGTGTTTTGTGTGGATGTTGTCTAGGTATCAGCCAGTTCATGATGTAGTTAAGGGAGCCAAAAGCAGGAGAGGTAATTGGTAACATCCAAAGCAAACAGGGCAAATGAGCAAAACATTCAGGCTCTTTATTTTACTTTTTTTTTCCTCTTCTTTTTTTTTTTTTAACAGTATCTTTATTGATTAATGGATCACTTGTCTGAATTCCTCCACACAAACCAGCCTGCCCCCTCACTTCCCACAGACAAAACAAGCAAAACAATAACAGAACCAAAACCCACGCAAAACAAAGTTGGGCCACGAAACAAATTGATATAGAATGAAGTTTGAGCATTTGTCCTTGCTCTGTGTCTTTACACGTTCGATTTACTCTTCACAGGAACACTGGGCTGCGGGGCTACTGATGGCCATTTCACAGGAAGATGTCAGGGATGAGTAAGCGTCTTCTCTGAGCTCTGTAAGCTGCTCCACAGGCTGAAGTGAATCCTAACTCTGTTTCCCCCCTCTCACTTGCAGTTTCCCTGGCCAGTACATCCCCACTATGGCAGAGGAGCGCAGCAGTACCCAGGACTGTGTGTCCTTCAGTGTGCTCAACTGGGACCAGGTTAGCCGGCTACACGAGGTCCTGACCGAGGTTGTGCCCATTCACGGGCGAGGCAACTTCCCAACCTTGGAGATCACCCTGAAGGACATCGTGCAGACTGTCCGCAGCCAGCTGGAGGAGGCAGGCATCAAAGTACAGGACGTCCGGCTGAACGGCTCTGCTGCTGGCCACGTGCTGGTCAAAGACAATGGCTTGGGTTGCAAAGACCTGGACCTGATCTTTCACGTGGCTCTTCCCACAGAGGCAGAATTTCAGCTGGTAAGAGACGTGGTCCTGTGTTCCCTTCTGAACTTCCTGCCAGAGGGTGTGAACAAGCTCAAGATCAGCCCGGTCACTCTGAAGGAGGCGTATGTGCAGAAGCTGGTGAAGGTCTGCACGGACACAGACCGCTGGAGCCTGATTTCCCTCTCCAACAAAAATGGGAGGAACGTGGAGCTCAAGTTTGTGGACTCCATTCGGCGTCAGTTTGAGTTTAGTGTGGACTCTTTCCAAATCATCCTGGACTCTCTGCTTTTTTTCTACGACTGCTCCAGCAACCCAATCTCTGAGGACTTCCATCCCACAGTGATTGGGGAGAGCGTCTATGGAGACTTTGAGGAAGCCCTTGATCATCTGCAGAACAGACTGATCGCCACCAAGAACCCTGAAGAAATCCGAGGTGGGGGCCTTCTTAAGTACAGTAACCTCCTCGTGCGGGATTTCAGGCCCACAGACCAGGAGGAAATCAAGACTCTGGAGCGGTATATGTGCTCCCGATTTTTCATCGACTTCCCGGACATCCTTGACCAGCAAAGGAAGTTGGAGACCTACCTTCAAAACCACTTTGCCGAAGAAGAGAGAAGCAAGTACGACTACCTCATGATCCTGCGCAGGGTTGTGAACGAGAGCACCGTGTGCCTCATGGGGCACGAACGCAGGCAGACCCTGAACCTCATCTCCCTCCTGGCCTTGCGTGTGCTGGCAGAGCAGAACATCATCCCAAATGCCACCAACGTCACCTGTTACTACCAGCCAGCTCCTTACGTCAGCGATGGCAACTTCAACAACTACTACGTCGCCCACCCTCCAGTTACCTACAGCCAGCCATACCCTACCTGGCTGCCCTGTAACTAACCTTGAGACCTGAGGGTTTCCGCAGTGGGAACCCAGTAGGGCGTGGGCTCTTGGGTAGGGGACCCTCCTCCTAGCTGTAGGTGTTTGGCTTTTAAAGGGGAACTCAGCTCTGATTCTGATCTTTTTTCCTTTGTGTACCCATTGAAATGGGTCCGCAGTATACCACGAGCCAACCCTGAAAGGACTCATCTTACAGTGCCACTTCGGAAAATGCTACAGGAAGTGTGACCTTTCCACGTCCTTCCAAGATAGACACTAACATGTCACATCCCAAACACTAGTGCTCTGGGATTTGAGCTCTGTGGGATAATTGAGATTGGGAGAACTTGGGCCCCGGATAAGAAGTGTGAAGTCTCTTTTTCTCTCACTGAGCCTGTAGCAGGGGCTCGCGTTCTGGTTCTTAGCAGTTGTGCTGATGGTCTCTCTGCTTGTGTCAGTCTTAGTCAGGCAGAAAATAACAGTCGTGAGGGTGCTCTTGTGACTTAGTTTTTGTTCACGAGACTAACTTGCTTGTGTCCAGTCTTTGTCAGCAGAGCTGAGAATTTCTTTCATAAATAAACCAAAGCCAGTAGCTAGAGGCTGGAGATCTGGTTGGAAGAGATTTATGGTTTAGATGCTGTGCTATCTTGAGAAATTATGAGATATTGCTAAGGAAAAAAATGATCTTTTTCTTGAAATGTAACTTGAAAACAAAATAAAATGTGGAACATAATGTAGAATTGTGGTGGAGGTGGTGGTGGGGGCAGTGATTGTAAATAGGAAACATGAATGTTCTTCTTATTATTACTTTTTTCTTCTTATTAAGGAATTCTTATTGAATGACATCTTTTCCCCTCAGTAGCTCCCTCCTGGACTTTTGTGTTGCTCCTCCTAAGATTGTGTTTCTCTTCATTGTTGTAACTGACATGAGGGTCTTCCCATGTTTTAATTGGAAACCCATTTTGGCCACATTCCATATATGACGAGCTATCTTTCTGGAGTACTTTGGCTTTTTTTTTTTTTTTTTGGCTTCTTTTTGCTTTTTAAAATAGTGATTTCTTTCT